CAACATGGGGGGTTAAGGGGGTAGGAGAAGAATAAATGAAACAAGATGGGATTGGGAGGGAGACAAACCATAAGTGACTCTTAATCTCACAAAACAAACTGAGGGTTGCTGGAGGGAGGGGGGTTGGGAGAGGGGGGTGGGGTTATGGACATTGGGGAGGGTATGTGCTATGGTGAGTGCTGTGAAGTGTGTAAACCTGGCGATTCACAGACCTGTACCCCTGGGGATAAAAATATATGTTTATAAAAAATAAAAATAAAAAACAAATTAAAAAAAAAAAGCTGCCTATCTTTGAATTCCTCCTTCCCACCCCATTCCTGCTGGGAAATTATGGCAACTGGAACAACCATGGTAGTTGTGTGGTAAGGATGGCAAAACCACTTCTCCATATGTGGGCGGCTCATATCTGTACTGTCTCATGACGTGGAATCATACAGCATGGAAACTTTTGATAGTGGGTTTTTCATTCAGCATAATTCCCTGGAGATTTATTCAAGTGGTACGCTATCAATACTTCATTTATTTTTATTGCTGGGTAGTATTTCATGGTTTGTTTAACCATTCACTCATGGAAGAACATCTGAGTTGTTTCCAGTTTGGGGCTGTTAGTCGTGAAACTGAGGTGAATATGTAAAGTATTTTGGGTGTGGACATAGTTTTTATTTCTGTGGGAAAATGTCTCCAAATGTAGTTCCTGGGTCATATAACTATATGTCTAGTTTTGTTTTTTAAAGAAATTGACAAATTGTTTCCAGAGTGTTTATACCATTTTTCATTTGTACTAGCAATGGATAAATGATCCAATTCCTCAATATTCTTTTCAGCATTTGATATTATTGCCATTTTTTTTTTGTTTTAGTCATTCTTACATGTGTATAGTAATATCTCTTTGTGGTTTTAATTTCTATTTCCTAAATGGTTAATGATGTTGAACACTGATTCATGTGTAATGAATCTTTGGTAAAATGTCTCTTCATACCTTTGTTCATTTCTTATTTTACAGTTTTACTCTTTTAATCTTTGATATTTACTATGCTATTGTTATTTTACTGTTCTTTGATATTTATTGCCCTTATTGGCATTTTATTGTTGAGTTCTGAGGATTTTTTTCCTGTATCTTAGATTTGACTTTAAAAACATGGCCAAAGGGAGAGGACACATTGGACTTCATTAAAATGTAAGACACTTGCTCTTTGAAAGACCTTGTTAAAAGGAGAGGATAGGCTACAGGTTGGAAGAAATATTTGCAAACCACATACCTAACCAAGGACTAGTAGCTGGTCCTTGTACTAGGTCCTGAAGATTTCCTCCTGTATTTTTTTATCAGGAGTCTTATTCTTTCATAATTACATTTAAGTCTTTAACTCATTTTGAGTTAGTTTTTTAAAATTCTTCTTTTTAGGGGTACCTGGGTGGCTCAGTGGGTTGGGCCTCTGCCTTCAGCTCAGGTCATGATCTCGGGGTCCTGGGATCCAGCCCTTCATCAGGCTCTCTGCTCAGCCTGCAGCCTGCTTCCTCCTCTCTCTGCCTGCCTCTCTGCCTACTTGTGATCTCTCTGTCAAATAAACAAATAAAATAAAATAAAATACTTCATTTTATGCCTTTGGAAATACCTGTCATTATTTAATTTAGATGCAGAATGGGAAAGATTGATCTGGGAGTGGAGTGAATTAGATTTTCCTAGTACTCAAAGATTCTTTACCTTTTCTCAGAGGGACATCTCAGGTTTGAAAGGTATAAACCATAACATGGGGGGAAGAAAGAGTTTCTAGTATAGAATATCTAGCTTTCTTTCTAAAAGGCAGTACCTATGTGCAGTGTGTCTCGAAGTGATTAAAGAAAAGGAGAGATTTTAAGGGAATACCGTTCTCATACTTTTTTAAAACCCATTTCCAATTTGTCAGTTGTACTATTTTGTAAAGCTAACATTAAACTTTAGATGGATTTCCCTCAAAGGCAACGACTGAGAATCTTAGTTTAGGGAAAGTAAAGGAGATAAAATGGGCATTCAACAAATTTGTTAAATAGAATTAGTGGTAGAACTATAGATTTGCTCAGTTTGCCCTCATTATTATTGACCACAGTGCACAATCACAAACAGGAGCTTTCATTAACTAACAACAGTGCAGACAGTGAAATAAAAGTCATTTCTGTATCAGAAGATTCATCTAGATATTCTTTTGCATTTAGAAAATATGGTCACTGGGGATTTCCTATAATTGGATCTTACCTGTAATATCATATACTATTACTGAAAACTCTATTTTCTTCAAACTAGAGCATTTGATCTTAGAGCATTTTAGAAGCTTTCTACAGATTAAAGACAGGAGACACATTCAATAAACAGAAGAAATGAAACATCCAGTCACAAGCAGACCTTTATCCATTTCCCAAGTTACATTTTCCTTTTAGATGAAACCACTTCAATTCCTTTTGATTTCCTTCAGTTATATTATGTTAATTAAATTACTTTCTGAGCCACACTTAAATTTTCACATTCCCTTTGAACTATAATAGCAATGACCCACAGATATTAAGACTTAAAAGACAGAAATGATATTGTTCCCTAATGATGGCTATATCATCATATGATATATGATCTATGATCCGGAATACACTCACCTGGTATCTGATGAGAAAAGTACTAGGATCGGGGTTACTTGCAAACCAATCACCTATTCTGACACATTAAGTAATGAAATGGTTGATGTAGGCTCTTCGCTACTCCATTGTTTTGCTTATATCCACTGTATGATCAAAGATGACAGTACTCATTTGTTAGTCATGTTAGATCAGCAAGTTATTTTCTATTATCCTGACATTAGATTTTGCTCTCTGGATAAAATCGTTAATAATTATATATAGAACTTTAAAAAAGACTTTAGGATATCTTTTAGAAAGGATAATAGAGCCAAACATCCCTGTTTTAAAGTTGAAAAATCAAGACCCAGAGAATCTTATTATTTTATTTCGACCGTAATAAGGTACACATCGTTATATGTATGTTAACATCTCTAAAATCAATGTGGTTTTGTTTTGCTTTACCAATGTGTTTTCTATAGTGAATCGCATCATACTGTGTTTGTTGGCCAGGTGGCAATCATGATGCATGAACTTGATGGCATTACTGGATAACTGCAACTTCATTTTTTCAGTAAGTAGACCAATTCAGGATCATTTGAGTAAAGCATAATTCCCGGTCAAGGTCTAAAAACTTTGTTAGTACCTTCTAGTCAAACTTATCAGCAGTATCAGCAGTAAAACTCATATAACATTTGCTAATGTCTTGGAAAACAACCCTGGCGTTAATAGTAGAGTATTATTTTAAAGAAAAGTTGGCACAAAGGGCAATAATCTTGGGGAAAAGAGGCCCAACAACTATTCAAAAATTGATTCAGAGCAATTAGCCCTGACATTTTTTTACTTTATAATGTTGATATGTGAGAAATCTATGTCTAAGTAAATTTAAAAGAGATCCTGTGATAAGAATAAAATCAAAATTCTAAATTATGCGGAAACATTATGGTGTAGTTTGACAAACTTTTCTTTGTGAGTGCAATACTCTTTCTTCTAAAACAACTATGAATATATTCAGCTCTGGTTCGTTCTTGTTTCTTCAGCTGTTTTCCTATAAGCCAAATTATTATCCATTCATACTCTCTGAAGTAAAAAACCAAAATGTTCCAATTTTGGTGAAGAAATCTAATCTTTATTTCTATGATTTTAGCACAATATACTCACACAATAGCTTTAATCTGTACTTAACAAAATACATTATAGCACTTTACAAACTTTATCAGTTTGGAAAACATTGCATAACATTTTATTAAACACAATACTTTATATATATTATATATATTTTCATAATTTTATTTACTTTAAAAAGATAATTACTCTCTTTATTCAATACTTGGTTTTCTCAGTAAAGCACAGCCTAACAAAGGAAGAAGTGCTCTCATTAGCAAATCAGATAAATAGAACACTAAGAAGAGATACCACCTGTTAGTCTCATTTATTTTAAATTAAGGTACCAGTGGAATGTAAACAAATATTGTTTTGTAATTTTTTTTACAAAAGATGTATTATCAAATATACATGCAGAGGTCTGAGTTCTAGTGACTATCATTATATTTCCTTAACAATGTGGTACAATTGGTTCAGTCATTAAAAACTGTAGCCTTTGGCACTTTGAGTAGAAAAAGAATATATCAATATTTATGTAAAGAAAAAAAAACCCTCAATGACTAGAGAAGTACTTTAAAATCTTTTTTTAAGAAATAGGAAAGATTAGGAAACATCTTACTGCATCTGAAATGCTGCAGCTTTTTTTTTCTTCAGAGTACTAAAACCAGTCCACCTTTCTCTCTATGAAATGGCAGAAACCAGCAGGAGTGTGGTGACAGTGGTAGTGGCGAGAAGTGGGGAAGGCAACGTTTTACTCCCACTCCCCTCTCTGAGAAGGAAATTGCCAGAAGGGATATAGGTGAATCATATTTTATTGCCAGAGTTATCAATTCTGCTGGTTTCAGCTAAATCCCTAATGCTTTTAGGAAGTTGGTGACTCTAGAAAGCTTTGCCCTTTTCCTGTAGAAGTTGATAATGAAGTGATAGTCTTTATCTCAAACAACTCCTTCTGTCCTCATGGAAAACGAAACAGATGAGTTCAACCAGCTTTGTTGTTACCTTCTATCCCCTTGGCAATCATTGAATGTATATTAGAATTCTTAAGAAATGGTGTAAAAAAGCCTTGATAATAAATTCCAAGAACCAAATATGTCTCCATACTTAAATTTTTAAGTTGGAAAACACCTCCAAATGTTTTGGTTTTATCTTCTTCTCATTGTATTGGTTTCCTTTGATTTAGGCTGAAGGCTTTATTCAGGATAGGTAGCAAAACTATTGTTTGCATATTAAGCACTAACACTGTGACTACTTAGAGATTTTGAAGAAATATATTCTTAATTTATACTGATATTTTCACTTATCAATTTGCATTTTTTTCAGATCTTCCTGTTGATGTCCAATGAACAAAAATATCTGAGGGAAGAAGGTAAAACCCAACAACTGTTGTTCTAATTTACTGGTTATTAGGATATAAAAAATAATAATCTGGAACAAAATGAAGTTTTTGGATTACTTGTAAAGATAGCAACCAAAGCCAGCTGGTTGGAGACATCCAAGTGTAGACTCACCCAACATTGCTGGCAATGTAATCCACAATGTCAAGTGTTGGTTCAGATTTCTTGTTCATAAATTCACAGCAATATATTTTGCTCAAGGAATGTCAACTGTTATTCTTGCTTTAAAAATAGAAAAACATATCCATAACATCAAAAAAATTTCCAATTAATAAATAAAGGAGGAGCCATAAAATGCAAAATATGATCACAATTTCCAAAGATGCTAAAACAAAGTATTTTTAAAATTCTGCAAATTTACTTACTAAAAAACAGAATCAGGAGTAGTAGCTATACTTAAATAAAAAGTAAGCAGTCAAAATAAAAACAACCTATGTAGAAAAGTACTAGCTATTCCCTCTCACTGAAAATATTCCTACACAATTTTTGTTGCTGAACAAAGCATAATTTTGAAGAAATGCACAAAACCTTTTCGTTTTTTGACTGTGACAGAGCCACTACAGAGAAGCTGCGGGGTGTCCTATTCTAACACAAAGCAGCCAGCATCTTCTTAATACAGTAGCATTTCTTTGACAAGGAATTGCACACCACTATTTCACAGCTAAATAGAATTTGAGAGTTTACATCGTATATGTACTATAATAATCAGCACCACCCTTACTGAGCTCTAGGTGCAGATTCTGCAAAATGAATATATAATACTGCATGGCCTCTGCTGTAGGGAAACATGTGTTCTGGATTCCCACAGCTAATTATAAAGAAAGATCCCTAAAGTTGACACATTCAGGAAGTAAAATAGTATACACTGAAGGAAACCACTTTCTTCTGATACTGCCTTCTGCAAACCTTTTGAGTTTGAAGATAGGTCTTAAGATTCTTCACAATATCACATTAGTTAGGTTCCTGCATTGTGCTTTTCCCTCCCCGTGATGTGAAATCTACAAGCTTGAGTGTAGTAGTTCTCAAGAGTCATTGAGTTCCGGGCTGATGGTAGATGACCCAGTTTGATGAGAAGTTTTCTCAATCTGCTGGAACAGAGCACAGGTAGAATCAAGATGTGGTCTTTTGAGGGTCGCTCAAGTGCCGAGTGCCATCACTCAATCTTTGTAAGCCCGTGTTGGGGAGGTTCCCTTGTAGAAGATATTTCTAGTGTTTTCAGGGCTGTTACTTCTTTCAGGGATTAAGATAATGTTGCCCTTTCTCCGCAGGGTAGAGTCGCGGGAGGAGGAAATGGACAGCGTCTCTGACCCAATTTCGCTGCCCTCTACTGGGGTGACCCGGATTGTGGTGATTCCATGGTGGTGATGCTCATTGTTATCTATGTTGCTTCTCTTGCGGTCTCCAGAACCAAAACTGTCTTTCAGGGACTCACAGCTTTCTGAGTCCCTGTTGAGATCGTTGAGCTCATAAGTTTGGCGAAGGCTGCCCTTTTCAGGGGCTTTCCATTTCCAGGAGCCACTACCTTCGCCTTCGGTGGATGGGATCTGTATGATGGGCCTGTTGTTCTCTGGGTGAGCCTCAACCCTTACGATCCCACTGGGTTCATGGTCTGTCAAGGTTTTGTAGCGGATGGAGCCCGTGCAGGAGACTGTGCTGCCTTCGGTGTTCTTGGGGCTGCTTTGGAGGACGCCCTGCTGCTTGGACATAGCGATTACTTGCATGATTCGGGGCTGGCTGTTGCTTCTATTACAGGCCACAGTCTTCTCGGCAGCTTTCAACCATTTGGCTCGAGCAGAGCTGCTTTTGGGAGAGGTGCTTATGTTTTCCTGGGTCTCCTCGGGGATGTGCACTAACTGTGAGGACCCAGGGCGGGACTGAATGGACACTCTTGGTCCCCCAGGCATGCTATTGTTACACCCAGGGACAGTGCCAGGCTGTACTTTGAGGTACTGATTGCTGGGAGCATGGTGGTCTCCATTCACCCCCACCCTGGAGGGCTCTGAGCTTGACCTCATTTCTATGGATCTGGGTGGTGACTGTCCAGGCTCAGTCTCTATAACTTGCAAGGACAACTTCCGACTTTCATTCTTATTCTTCCACTGGGTGAGAAGCTGCTTTGATCGAGCAGAATCCATAGAGGCATGAATGGAGGCATTTCTTCTGACAGGGTCTTCTACGGATGGAGTGTTGGCTCTAGGCAGGGTATTGCTAAAGGTAACCATGTTCTCCTTCCCCATGGGGCTCCGTGGAGTGATGATTTCCACATCAGCATTTGCTCTTTTGAGATTTGTCAATGAGCTAGCATCTCTGTGGTTTCGGTTGAGGATACCTTCTGTGTGAGCAATTCCATCACTGCTGCTACCATTTTTAGCGGATAAAACTCGGCTGGGGTCCTGGTTGAGGTCTGTCAGAGATCTGAGGGCATCTCTGTGCTGAAACATACTCTCATCGCTAGGCAGAAAATTCCCCACAGCATACAGGCCCTAGTGTTGAAGAGAAACAATGAACATCATGCACTAGAAGACATGGTTACTAAGAATTTGTCTCAGAGGATCCACTGAAGCATATAAAGAAGGTATGTGCTCTCTATCCATCATTGACTAATACAAATAACAAAAAACCCAAACTACAATTACTCAGGAAATCTTCTGTAAGTTATATCATAAAATCACAGAACTAACTGTTCAGAACTAAGGGGACTGTTATTTTATAGTAGTTGGATTTTCTCTCCTTTCTCCATCCCCCTGGATGTTTTTGTGAATCTTATCCTCTGTATGTTTTGAGAAAAAGAGACAGACAATGAGAGAAATAAGGACGTTCTTCTGCTTTTCAAAGCAATTCATTTTTCTGGATTTAGGAACCTCTTGTTGAGTGACACCTTGAATAGCTTAACTGATTTATTTTACCTTCCATTTTCAATCACACCTCCTAATGGAAAGTGGGGGAGGCGTGAAAAATATAAAACAAGGAATCATTCATAAAGCATGCTGTTAGGTTTTGCTGTGAGGTCAGAGACAAATACTGTTACAACTCAGATCGAGCATAGCTCTGGGTGGTCAGCATTACACAGAGTATTCTCAAAAGAAAGGGCAGACATTAGTGCTAGTTGGGAGCATCCATGTTCTTTCCTTTAAGTTTGGAAGTAATAGTTGATCAATTCAATGCTAGTACACTAAATCTGAACTAAATTTTATGTAATTGTATCTTCATCCTCAACCTACCAGTTTTCCATTATTTTGGGTTTGGGGGATAAAAATTTGGATGAGACAAAGTTTAGATTCAGAATTTTTACAATTCTTACACATAGAAGACCAAATTCCTGTTAGATTTTCAGCTTCTGAGATGCTTTAGTTTAGAGGTAAGAGAAAGCAGCAGATACCTATTTGGTAGCCACTTTTCAAATCAACCCACAAGAATCCCATGGATTTAACATTTTATAGAGTGCTTAACAATTTACAATAGCATTGGCTTACAATGGATGAATTTCCAATTTCAGGGCACTGGGTGCAAACAGAAATGAAAAAAGTCCAGCTTCTGCCTCTCCAGAAGCTTTTCTTCTAAATAGTACCTATCTTTGCTCTCACTGCCAGAGTTCTCAGGATGAGCAGTCCCTACCTAATGCTCCATTAATAATTGTATTTAAAGGAGTAAGTTTGGGGAAACTGTCCACCAGACTGTAAGAACCTCTGCCATATTGTTCGACATGCAGTGTTGGCACCGTGGTCAGTAAACATTTATTATATGCAATAGCCAGTTACTATTCTCACCTAATAAGTGAAGAAACTGGTTGCTGAGAGATTATGTAATTTGACCAAATATAAAATACTTGAGATTCAAGCCCAAATCCTTCAGACTACGGAGCCCAGGCTAATTGCTGGACACCGTGAAATCACACTCACACAAGGGCAATGGACGAACTTGAAGGACACAGCTCTCAGTCTTCCTTGATTACTCTGTAAGCATTGCCAATCAACGCTCCCATGGGAAACCCAAGCTTATGCCCAGTTCCTGATCTGCTAACTTTACTTTGAGCACTTTCTCCTCCGCCAAAGAAAGCACGTGCATAAGCATGAGATTTAAAGTGACAATCCTGACCATGCTAGTTTATAAAAGTGAAAAATAAATCATCACTTGCTTCGGTGCTTTTACAACTTTTTGTCATCATTGTCTTGTAACACCTTCCATGAACCAGGGCATCAGTATCCCATGATTGAACTGCTGTGATAGGTGATTTTCATTTCTCTGTGAGTTTCTTTCAGTTTCCTTGGTGACTGCCTGTTTCTCTGCATGCTGCTGGCATGTGGATATTTCATTCTTATGACCTGGCAATTTCAGGTAACTCCTGACTCCTCTGTAACTATAATGGTACTTCCATCAATAATATCCATGACTTCCAAATCTATTTCTTCACTCCTGATTGTCCTTTTGAGCTCCAGAAGCAACTCTTCAACTGCCTATCGATCCTTAACTTGAGCTCATCGAACCCTTCTCCACCAACCTACTTTCTCCATCGTGTTCTGGTCTGCTAATGAAGTCACCATCTATTCCATCTTCCAAGCTGGAAACTCAGCTGTTATCTCTCATTCCTCCTATTCCCTCACCTTCCACTTACACCTGCTCTTTTAGATGTCCGTCTTTGCGCATGGGCAGTTTCTTTGCTTAAGTGTCCTTCCTCCTTTCCTTACCCTAAGAAAAAAATTTCTTATTTCTTAAAAACTATATCACTTCTGTGAAAGCTTCCTTAACTTCCTTCTTCAGTGTGCTATTCACAAAGCATTTTGTTCACACCTTAATATACCATTTAATATCCTGCAACTATCTATATTCTTATTACTCTTTATACTGAAAACTCCTTAAGGCTGGATCTTATTTCTCACAGTACTGATGCTCAGTATAGTACCTGGCACAGATCAGATACTGAATGAGGGAATGAATGAATTCATGAATGAATGTATGAAATGGACAATCTCAGTTTCTTTCTGCTGAGAATATTTCCTCTGAAGGAAGATTGAGCTTGAAAATAGAGTACTGCTAAAGAATTCAGTCATAGTTGGTGCTAATACATCCAGGTGCTACATTTGTGATGTTGGGCACGTTCTACAAACTTCCACCAAACCTTCACTGTCATGAACCTTACTTTTACAAATATTCACTTTCCTCATCTGTAAAAGTATAGTAGGAAAAATAGTCCCTGACTCTTTCTGGTGTGTGCGTGCGTATGTGTGTGTGTGTGTGTGTGTGTGTATAAAATGCAATAATCCTAAAGTTGCAGTGGATGGTCCATGGTAAGGGTGTAAAATACTATTTTACTAAAAGTGGGATATATGTGTGGCTTAGGATGGAGAAGCACTCAGATTTTCTCATGAACATAAACTACAGCAAGTAAATTATTACAGTGCAAAAGTGTTCGATGCATGTTTTCCATTTAAACTGTGGTTTATCAAATGAGAATAGTAAATCATTTACCAAGTAGAGAGCAATTCCTCCTCCTATTAAAAAGCCACAATAGACATCAACTGGGTGGTTCTTATACTGAGTTATTCGGGTGAGCCCACAGATGATCCCACAGATGATAAAGGTGAAGACCAAGAGAGGTTTGAGAAGCTTAGAGGAATCCGTTAATGTGGAATTGAAGTACATCTGAAAAATTAAAGCAATCTGGTAAGTATGTTAGAAAGGTCATTTTACAATTAAATTATAATCGAATAAAAAGTTAGACTCAAAGTCTAACTCATACATTTGACATCAATTTTACTGCTCCTTTCCCCCTGCTATGGCTATGTTCTATTCCTGAAAAAGAAGAAATACATAGCAAAATTCATCAAATAAAAAGCAGATCTCATTTAATTACATGAAAGTTTGAAAGAGAAGTTGAAGCAGTATAATTAGCAAGATGTTTAGTTTCCATGTTGCTTGTCACATAATTCCAGTCCACTTTTCTCACATAGGACCTGAGGGACTATTGTATTAATCAGACACTAGGTGGATTCACTGTATATCATTTATCAACTTTACGCTGACTTTGAACTCACTATTCCATAAATACTGAAAGTAAAGCATGTGTGTATGTGTATATGCGTGTGCTTAAACACAGTTCTTTCAGTTCGAGAATTTATCACACAATACCTTGCCATGAGATATATTGCATTGAAGGGATACCAGGCTGAATAAGTATTAGGACTGTGTAGAAAATTTCATTTAATGTAGTATTGTATACAGTATCATCCAATTTCTGTTTTCGATGCAATTGTGTTGAAGGACTGCTGTGCTCAAGTTTACTGTTCTGTTATTACACGGCTACATAATCTAATTAGTCACTTGGAGACAACACTCATTTCTCTGATATTCTCTAGGACACAGACTGATGAAAAAGAGTCAGAGACTTACCGAAACGTACACAGCTGCGAAGGCAGCGAGGGTCGCATGTTGAGAAGGGAATGATTTTCTGCCAAAGGAAGACAGTCAAATTATGCCTTCTATTTCAGATTCACTGCTAACAATCATAAGAACGCTGGGTGGTTAAAATGTTCTATTTAAAAGCCTTGAGGCAGTAAGTGATAACTTTAATTTCTCTTTAGATTTCTGGAGAAAGATCGGAGTGATAAACACTGCTAATCACTATTAGAATTAAAGAATAGCATAATGCGCTTTCTAATAGAAAGTGTTAGCTTTGGAGGAATCAATTTGTTACACCACTGGAATGATGGTTGAAAGTAGAAGTGGGTTGGAAAACATTATAATTGTTCTTTGGTATTCAAAGTATGTCAGTTTAAAGTAAAGGTCCATAAAACCTAGGATTTTAAAGCTTTGAAACTTCTGTTATGCTCCTAAATATATGGGTGCATTTACACAAAATTTTAAAAGACAAAATTATTTTCTCACAGCAATGGGTCTAAATGTAATTTTTACACTCTAGAAAACACAAGAAGTCCAATTTTAACAGAGTGTTTCTCTACTTTAATGTAATTATCATCTTGAGAATCATAGAGCATCTTATTTAGTTAAATAATCGAAGAAGCAAGCTGAGAGAGAGGTGGAACACAGGATATGGGAGAAACACCAAAAAGAACAGGTGAAGGAAGAAAAATAGAGATTTCTCTTAATAGATAAAAAAATTTAAAAAAATAAAATTCAGTTATATTAATGTCCTCCTAATTATTTGGTACCCATAAAAAGGATTACCACTTAACGCAGATAAGATATGTAGAAAGACTGAGAAAGAGTAGAGGACATTGGTCTTAAATGTAGCTTCAAAATTATTGAATGGACTATGAGAACTTGAATGTGTATAATTACATAATATCAGGTTCTGCTTCTTCAAGGGTACTTACTAACTTATTTTCGACTCAAATTGATCTTGAGAACTCACTGAACAACAAATGCAGTTCTTATAGCATCCCTTATTGCCCTTCATCCTTCTGTAACTTATTTCTTTTGGATTTCCAAAACATTATCTCTTGCCAAAAAGTTTAATTTTTACTTTATTGATTGAGAAAGACTTAATGCACTGGTATTTTCTTGAGTTTTTCTGTCTTATTTTCTAAAATGCAAGATTAGAAGCTATACTAATCTTCTGGGTTTATACAAAGTAGATGCATATAAAACTCTACCAAAAGGAAGATTCACATGATTTTAAAAAACTACAACATACAATGGAGACATAAATATAAATATTTAAGCTTCCACTTAAGTCAGTACAAGACACATATTGATTATCTATAAACATCCTAAGATAAATCAATTGTGTTAACCTAAAACCATGAAGAGTCTAGGGTACCTCGCAAAACATGAATAGGATTTGGTGATATGAAGATTAGCGGCAAGAATGTGAGGCTGAAATTTTTGAGACAGGAGGATTTGGAATGAGCCACCAGAGTTTCTATGGTGTAACCACTAAAGAAATCACTGGATTGAAGATAAAGAAAAGAAAAATAAAACCAAAATCCTTATGACTGAAAAATGTATGCATAAAACAATCCCACATTCGCTATTCAAGAACCATGAAAACACTGACATGGGAAGTTTAAAAATCTCCATTTCTGACCTGCCACTGTTGATAACTGTAAGGTCAGATCCTGAGCAAATATCTTCTACAATGTAGGAATTTTCTTTGCAAGACACATTCAGAGAGGTATAGTTTGGCTTGCACACAGTCAGAAAATATGGTGCCTGATACCCTGTGGAGAGCTGTATGATATCCGTAATGAGAGCTGTAGAGCACAGTCCAAACACATGAACACCTATACGCAAAGGGAAAGAAATCCTTATTAAGTTAGTGCTTAATACCAACATTGTACCATCATTAACCATGTTTACTACACATTAATGTGGTGGCCTGCAAAGCTGTCATGATCATTTTCTCTGAGTTTATTTAGAGAAAATAAGGATAGAAAATTCCTGTACCTTTAAACCAGATAATGCCAAAATAAGGGCAATGAGTACCTCCAGGGTAGTCATTTGGAGTATTTTTGGTTAGTTTGGTTTAAAAGGACCATTCTTAATATTATTACTATAGGCCACTTGTCAGATACCTGGGGCATGTGAAGGTGACCACTGTGTGATTTGAGGAGGATGAAATATGGGGAATGAGGCAAAAATTCAAAATAATTTAAAATTGCTTAGCACGTTTGAGCTTCCGGGGCTCTCTCTCTCCCCAGGACTCCCTAACTCCAGCCACAGTTGCCAAGCCCTACAGAACTGGTTCCAACTCCCCACAAGCTGCAGTCATACCGGGAATGCTAATTAAAACAGAGAAGAGGGTAGGCGGGCCCTGTCATGGAAATAATAATCATATCTTGGGTACAGGGCTGTGGGAGACTTCCTGCATATTTGTAATTCAGAGATGATGTTCTTGTATCTCCCCGTCCAAATTCTTTCTTTTGTCTCCTGGCCCCAGTCTCAAACCATAAACTCACAAACTCTGATTCAGGCTTGTTCCCTTGAACTCCATTCCTGCTCCAAGTCCCTTGCATGGGAATCTAGCTCTGCTCACATACATATGATCTGAACCCGGCTTCCTCTACGTTGTCTTGACACCCTGGATTCACTCTGACTTGACAGTCTGGATTCTGATTCATGATGTGCTCATAGAAATCAATACAAGAGGCAGCTGAGTAATTCATCAATAAACTCCTCCAGACAGTGGTAGTTGGCCTGCCCATTACCCTGTTTTCCACTTTCCTTTTCTGCTTATCCTTACCTAGCAACGACTCTCCCAATTCCTTCTCCACCTGATCATCTGGAATTCAAGATAGATGATTTCTACGTTCTAATTCCTAGCAGCGTGCTGGTCCTGGAGAGGAGTAGGCTTCAGTGGGAAAACCCATCCATTTTTGCCTTTGGAGAAGGAGCATCTCCAGACTCTCAGAGGATGAGGTTCTGGGACCTTGTTCTCTAGGGAAGGATGGACCATCCTCACAGGCACGAGGCTTTTCACAGAGGATATATGCCCTTTTGTCCAAAGCATTTGTTACATTAGTGAAATTTTTCTCTGAGATCAGCTATATGTCCTGAGGATATATTTCCTTGCCTCAATAGTGGCCTGCTAAAGGGCTTATTTGTGGCTCACCATCTCCAAGTACCTTAATCAGTGGATCAGAGTCTGGGCATTAAACCAGGCTTTTCCTCTAGTGGGAGAGAAGGTTATATTTAATTATTGTCTAGATATTAGATAAAATTACCTATTCTCTTGAGCTGAGAGGTTACAGGTAAAGTAATTTTTTACTGACTTACTGGGAATGAATGTGAAGCATTCATATTGGTGTGGTATGCTGTGTTTTGACTTCTCAACTTGGTTAAAAAAAACAAAAAGGTCTGTGACTCAAACATTAAGATGGTCCCAGGCTAATCAGAAGAGATGTGGGTTTAGATTAAAAAAAAAAAAATAGGGGGTAAAGTTAGAGGATATAACCAAGGAAAAATAGCCATGATTCAGTTCTGTATGGTGACATTTCCATGTGCAGTAGCTTCCGGATGAGAACACTCCAGAATTGAAATGGAATCACTGATGTGGCTAAACTAATTTCTGAAGAGTTATCCATTCACAATAGCCTGCCAACATTTATTCTCCATTTTAAAAAACAAACACAAATCCCGAGAAACCATTTTAAAGTAAACTTTTGCTTCCACCACAGCTAAGACAAAAATATACTAAAATGCATGGCGTGTTAGCTCTCAAAATAAGGACTATAACTGTAAATAACATATTACAGATACAAAGCCCCAATCTTGGTGTTTTAGCAGTTTTTTTGTATAATGTAAAACTCATCCTGTACCTGAAATTATACATCTAAATTATAGCTTTAAAAACTTAATATCTGTAATTAAATATAACATTTCTATTTGGAAAAAAAAAATTCCTTTCTTTGTGGTTCCCCACACCCACCAACGAATCTGACGGCTCTTCTAAGGAAGGAGTTGAAATTGCAGCCTCCGGCATTTATGTTGGGCTCCAGTCCAACCCCATTTCTTCTTTTGGACAGGCAACAGTAGAGAATTCCTTCCCCTACCATAATCTGCAAAGACAGGGTGATGTTCAGAATGGACTTGATGGGTAACAAATGAATTCTAAGTTACCTCTTAACACATCATCGATCCAACAAGGTAAAGATATATATATATTTTTTAAGATTTTACTTGTTTATTTGACGGAGACAGAGAATGATCACAAGTAGGCAGAGAGGCAGGCAGAGAGAGGCGGAACCAGGCCCCCCGCTGAGCAGAGAGCCCAATGTGGGGCTTGATTCCAGCACCCTGAGATCATGACCGGAGCCAAAGGCAGAGGCTTAATCCACTGAGCCTCTCAGGTGCCCCAAGATATATTTTTCTTTAAAGTGTTAGAGATGTGAGCAATTTCTCCTGAGTGTTTGAGCGAGCAGTGGGAAGCAGCAATCAGGGCACTGTGGAGAGTGCTCGTTGGATCTTCTGCGTGCCTATGGACTGGTCAAGGGTGTGATAATGGTCCTGGCATTTTCTTGCGGTTGCAGCACTCAGTCTTTGACCCTTTGCTCAGCAGTATCCAGGGATGATGCCTTATTGCTTAATTGCACAGTTACTGATTCTGCCCTAATTCTTAGAGTCTTGGCATTTCATCTCTTATAGCACAAAAACAAGATGGCTGGGTGGGGGCAGCCCACCCAGTGGTGGGTGTTGGGGAAGAATAAAGTTAACACCAGAGCTAGGATTAGAAAATTTTACTAGCCTATCATTTCAATAAGCCAATTCAGAATTGAGCAGAAGGTTCAATCCATGGAAAGCATGCATGAGGTTAGAAAGGTGCAATCCACAGCCAAGCTGTCCAACAAAAATTTCTGTGATGATGAAAAATATTTCCTGTCCTTTCCAATAGGGTCATCACTACCCACGTGTGGCTATTGAGCCTTGAAGTTTAGCTACTACACCTGAGGAGCTGAATTTTTTATTTTATTTCACCACATTTAGTTCAGTATTTAAATTTTAAATTAATTTAGACTTAACAGAAATAGTCCCGTGTGGCTGGTAGCTATTTTGTTGGAGAATGGAAATTACAAGAGAATTTAGGTAAGCAGGGTACAATTTCTTAGGCATAAGATTAGAAAATGTGTTTACAGGGGTGCCTGGGGGACTCTTTCCGTTGAATGTCTGACTCTTGTTTTGGCGCAGGTTGTGATTTCAGGATTGCGCACTGCGCTCCATGTGGGGCTCTGTGCTAGACATGGAGATTCTCTCTTAAGATTCTCTCTCTCTGGAAGTGGAGATGCAACGTGGGAGGTTTGGGGGGTAGGAAAAGAATAAATGAAACAAGATGGGATCGGGAGGGAGGCAAAGGAGAAGAGACTCTTAATCTCACAAAACAAACTGAGGGTTGTGGGGGCGGGGACAGAGAGGGTAGTGGGGTTATGGACACTGGGGAAGGTATGTGCTATGGTGAGTGCTGTGAAGTGTATAAACCTGTCGATTCACAGACCTGCACCCCTGGGGCTAATAATACATTATATGTTTTTTAAAAAATTAAATATATAATTTAAAAGAAATCTCTCTCTCTCCCTCTGCTCCTCCCCACCCCATGCTTTCTTTCTCTTTCTCTCAGGGAAAAAAAAAAAAAAAAAGGAAAAGAAGAAAGAGAATGTGTTTACAATGGACAGGGAGCTGTAATGTAGTATCAGAAAGATTAACATATTAAAGATGTTAAGATAAAAAAAAGTATATTTGCTGTAGGATTCTAGGACATTGGACATAAGGGAAGGGACCCAATGCATTTGGTCATCATTTCCTTCAAGAAGTTTTCCTTGAGACACCCAACATCACCCTAAACTGAATTATATCTTCTTCTTTGTGGTTTCCTTAGCACCTTATCCTTCCTTTTTAGTATAACTCAGTGAAAGTGCACTTCAGTTGTTCATTTGTTTGTCTCTCACTAGACTATAACTCCCTGAGGGAAGGGCCTTTTCTTTCTTTTTTTTAAAGATTTTATTTATTTATTTATGTATTTAGAATGAGAGAGAGAGAGGGAGAGAGAGAGAGAGAGAGAGAGAGAGAGCATGAGAAGGGGGAGGGGCAGAGGGAGAAGCAGGCTCCCCGTTAAGCAGGGAGCCTGATGTGGGACTCCATCCCAGGACTCCAGGATCATGACCTGAGCCAAGGCAGTCACTTAAGCAATTGAGCCACCCAGGTGCCCTGGGAAGGTCCATTTCTTATTCACCCTTTATTCTCACTGTCTAGCACAATGGCTGGCATTGTGGGATTTGCATTTGTTACCTTCACTGTGGGATGCTTGTTGGCTGATTGGGCATTCAGGCCCTTAGTTGTGCTACAAAAGAGAAGCAAGATTTGAAATTATGAGTCTTATTTATGTAAAAAATTCAAATATTTAAGGTCACCATGCTTAAGAGATTGATATGAAATGCGACATTGATTTGTAGAAATGTGTGGAGCTGAGAAAAGTTGAATTACAGGAGATACCGGCAGTCTTAGATATAAGGGATGATGTCACTTTAAAGGTCATAGTCATGATAAGGGGCTCAAATAGATTTCCCAAGGGAAACTTCCCAGTTCTCATTACTAGCTTAACATTTATTTTATGAAGTATTTAAAATTATAGTTTTTTTTTTTTAAACCAATGACAGTAAGCCTATAACCTTCTGTTTGGAGTGTTCAATCTGTTATATTTAATTCTGTAGGTATCACGGTATGTGTACAGTTATAAAGATTCTTAATTTAGGGGCGCCTGGGTGGCTCAGTGGGTTAAAGCCTCTGCCTTCGGCTCAGGTCATGATCTCAGAGTCCTGGGATCCAGCCCCACATCAGGCTCTCTGCTCAGCAGGGAGCCTGCTTCCTCCTCTCTCTCTGCCTGCCTCTCTGCCTACTTGTAATCTCTGTCTGTCAAATAAATAAATAAAATCTTAAAAAAAAATTTAAAAAAAGAATCTCAATTTGTATAAAAAATAATTTTTTAATGGAACTCTATCAATAACCATAAATGTGTGAAAATCATGTGGCATATATGATAAACATCTTGAAGATCAATTGTATAGAAATCATCAAAAGGAGGGTTTTTTTTTTTCAAATCATTTAACAGTGAGTTAATTATTTATACTTCTTGAGAAATATCATCCTACACTATTACTTTAAGTTAGACACAGAAACACAATAGGTCCTGTATTCTGCATAGATAGATGTGACACAAAACACCACACACATAGAATAAGATGGTGGTTATCTAAAATTCATCATTTCAAGAGAATTAACCACTCATTCCTGAAATGCACTCTTGCAAGGTTAAAAGATACTGATTTTATCTTCACTTCCTCAAAAATAGCTCTGTGGATAATTTTTTTCTTTTTTCAATTATATGTGTAATGATTCACATTTTGTCCATGAATGTTAAATTATATAAGAATTTATTTGTGTAGTGCCATTAGAGAAAAGTGTCTTAGCATACAACACAGTAGTCATTATCTCAAATGACCTTGAGATTTCAGGCGTTTTATTTTAGTTGTTTAATATGTTCAAAACTCATATGTCAAGAGAGTGCTTTAATACTATTTGGCTTCATTATGGATAGAGGTTTCTTGTCATTATTTTGACATCTCCCAGCTGTCCTCTCTAAGAAACACATCAATTTTCTCCTCACACTTCTATTCATTTAACCTTGATCTATATGTCATTACATGAATTTTCAAAGTGGTTCAATTTTGTCCAAAGATGGAATTTTCCTCGGGGGGAAGGGAGATGCTTCCTGATGTATTTCTAAATGCACCTGCTAGTTTCCTCATTCTGAATGGCATGCTGGTTGTGCTAAAATGTGGTTTCAGAGTTTAGGCTCTGACAATAAAATTATTTGCTGCTTTTGTCATTTGTAAACAGAAAACAATTTCTGACAAGTATCTTTTCACAATATTCTGTTTAATCTGTACACAGGCCAAAAAAGAATTTTTTTTTTTCTTGTTGAATATCATGGGCAGGTTTTTGGAAGAGATTCTGAAATGGCTCTGCTTCAGGGGAGACACAGTGAGAAATATATTTCTTTCTATTAATCATATGGGCACTGCCCTAAGAATATCTACCACAGCAAGAACTCACAATGAAAAAGTCTTTATTGGGGCATCTGGGTGGCTCAGTCCATTAAGCGTCTGCCTTTGGCTCAGGTCATGATCCTGAGTCCCAGAATGGAGCCCTGCGTAGGGCTCCCTGATCAGTGGGAGTCTGCTCCTCCCTCTCCATCTGCCCCGCCCCTCCTCTCATGCTCTCTCTAGCTCTCTCTCTCACCCTCTCTTTCAAATAAATACATAAAAATTTTTAAAAAGTCTTCATTGTGGAAACAGCAAAAGAGAATGACAAAATAGTATTTATTATAGTGTTTAAATCTGTAGTGAAAGTCTTTTTTCCAAAATACATTTCCAAAATGTATTTCCCTAATACATTTAATATTGTATAAGGTTCCCATCTAGGATCTATAATCAAATTCCAATAGAATTCTCCTATAAAGTTAGATATATTTATCCTTTAATAAAATGTAATAAAAGTTAACTTCCAGCGAAGAGAAAGTATACATTTTTTTCTATTCATATAGATTACATGAACATTTATGATATCCTCTGTTGTTTTCCCTGAGATACAATCTCCAAAGGACTGAACAAAATGCTTATTTCATTATTACTTTAAAGTAAATGAAAAGTTAGTATTAAGGATGAAATTTTCCAATTCAAGGGCAGTTTCAGAGACATAAGAAAATGTATTTCACAGACATGAAAGGAATTTTTACAGTTTCTGGTACAGTATCAAGAAGACAGGTTATTTTTAAAACGTCTCTCAAAGCACTTTAAAAAATCTGAAAAGCAAACACTACATGATTTATATTTAAATGCCTCTATCAAAAATCAGTTGATCTTCTTTTGTTCTTGTAAAGATTCTTTTGAAGAATATTGCTGACATGAGGTCTTTTGTTTTTCACTTGGTCTCCTCTCCAGAGGAGTGGGTGAAAACCATGCCTCTCTTCACAGATGTGGCCTTTATTTATTTTTTTAATTTTTAATTTAAACATAATGTTGTTAACATACAGTGTAGCATTAGTTTCAGGTGCAGAATTTAATGATTCATCAGTTGTATGTAACACCCAGTGCTCAATTACATCAAGTGGCCTCCTTAATGCCCATCAGAACTGGGCTTTAAAAACCATTTCCACATGAAGGATTCCTCTTGCTTCCCCTCCTCCCTCACCAACCCATTTTCTAACAGGTAAATGCTACATATACATAAAAAGAAAACAGCATCCTTGAAAGTTGGCCATTAGAGTCTACTTGTTATTTTTCACCTTTTCACCAAGAGGGGAAGGAGATCAGAATTGTAACTATGTAGTAAGATTAGAGACAGAATTATGGGTGTGGAACAAAGGACTATAGACCCCATAAGACCAATGTTGAGAAAATAAATGTTTTGGGAGAAATCCTTAAAGATAGAGGAGAAAATGAAATTGGAAAGAGATCTAGAAGATGCATAATATGTGTTTGAGAGAAAGGTGTGAAAGCAGTATTTGATGTGAGCAAAGTCAAGATTTGTTTTACCACTGAGTTGGTTATCCAGAGCTACGAACCCAGTGTGGAAGGAAAGAACCATGGACTCCTTGGAGTATCATGGAGTTCTAAGTGATATGGGGGGATTTAGGGATCCCAGAATATAAATATTTCCCTAGTTTGCCTCTTGTTCCATAAAGAGGCACGCAGCCACTATGGAGGGCCCGTGGAGATCCTGAGATTCAGTGGGTCCTTTGTGGGAGGTATTGACACTGGGCTCCCCATGTCCAGCTTGGTGAGAAACAGACATGGCAGATTCGCCCTGTCATTTCTCAAGGCTCCAGAAAGAAAGCTTTGGCCTGGAAGCTCCAGAAAACATCTCTAGATTGCATCTTAAGAATTTATTAAGGAAATGGGGGAGTCACAGATACAGGAACACAGAGATAAGGCCAAGGTTGTTGTCCCCAGGACATGTAACAGTGTCAGCAAAGGGATCAGTGTGAGATAAACAGGGTCCACAGCAGCAGGTGTCACAGCTAGACTTGTCTTCCTAACAACTTCATAAAATACCCTAAGAGGAAAGGCTTCTGGATATATAAAAAATCATTTAAATGAATAAATATCAAACATAGTCTCGTGTTAAATATCAATACAGTCATGAACATTTGTACAGAATTTTGTTTTATTTCAACAGTAAGTTTGAGGGCTATACCCCAACTAGGAGAAATGCTTTCTGGTGTAATAGTTTAAAGCTTATATTCTTTTTGCTCTTGTCAAATGACTGATGATATAGATTTTTTAGTAAGTCGTTAGAGAAATGACAGGAAAGTGCCATTATTCTGAGCAATACTGCCTTTTAGGTATGTTTTATTAGTTTGAATCGCAGCTATTCCCAAGCACATCATTAATAGTGCCGATCACACTAGAGTTAACTGGAGTTCCAATAACTCAGTAATTTACAAAGTATTTGAGACCTTTTAAGTATGATTAAGTTCTGTGGAATATTAAGTTCTGATTTTACCTTCTGAGAATGTTTTGTATAATTTATTTTGAGTGTAAACATATGTTATAATTTAATGTAGGAGAAATTTTGAAAAAACAAATTCATAGCTACATAAAAGTATAGACTTTGGAAGATTTATATATAGGTTTTTCTAAAATTGCTGATGTGCTGAACCAGAATTGGCCAATTCATTAGGGAATCTTGTAAAAACTCCATTTAAGTACAGCTTTTCATTTAATAACCACTTCCTCTGACATTCATGAGCATGATAAAAGCAAAGTAACAGTTCCTAATGGCAGAAATAAATGATGTTAGCCTTGAAACATGTTTCTTGACGTTTATGTGGGATTCTGGGGGCAGAAAAGATGGTAAAAAGGCTTGTCCAGTCTTATTTATTAATGGATTAATGAAAAATGTGTTTACTCATAATGTGTAAATTAACAAACTAAAAAGAATTATGTTTTACATTCAATTCCAGTAGGTTAGGACATTTCTTTATATTATATATGTAAAAATGCAAATGCCTGTTTTGCAGCTAAAGTATTTTATGTTTAGTTTGTGTGCGCATGTGTGAACCAAAATGCCAGGAATGTGAGTTGTGCCCTTTTTACTTTATAATTGTTGGTACTCAGTGCTCATAATCAATAAAAAGTGTTAATCCAGTAAAAAAATGAAACTGTGATATCAACATGCCTTTTGAGAAGAAAGTTCTTGGCTATATAATTATTTGTTTTTCCCCTCCAGCTTTCCAGACTTCAGATACCAAATCAACACATTAATTAGGAAATTTATCAGAAATGTCATATTAGCTATTCAAGGGAAATTACGCAGTTACAAACATTTTTTTAGAATGACTTATAAAACTGAACATTAGAGACCCATTAATTTTGCAATTATACAATCTTAACTTTTAAAGTTAGTAATTTTCAACTATTAAGTCACAGGACATTTTCAAAATATCCTAAAGACATGATCTTTCTGTTCCAAGATTTCGAGTTCACTTTTTGTTTGTTTTTAACCCATTTATTACACAAATGTGGTCATTCTTAGTTTTGGGAGAATGACAAATATAATTTGGGGGCAATTCTTACCGTAATTGCAGGTCCAGCAAAAGCCAAGCTCAGCAACATGAGGAACGGAATTGCCTCCTGGGTTGGTTCAATATAGGGCATGCTAAGACTCCGGTCATAGCAGCTAAATCCAGAGTGCACGGGTTTGAAGACATCCGTGAGTTCAAGGAAATACAGGCTAACCACCGATGATGCCAATATAGGCAACTGAGAAGGAAGGATATGGAAGAGCAATTTATTATTGTGCACAGGTCATACATAGGATCAGTGCATCTTTAAGTGGAAACAAGTGGCTACTTCCCCTTCTCTCACCACTCTCCTCTGATCTCAGACTTAACACCTTTCATAAATGCTATGGCTTCTACTTTCAGAACATCTAATTCACCTACCTGTCACCAGCCTCCTATGAGCCCATGTCATGTCCCTCACCTTTGCTCTCAGATCACCTCCTAACTGGTGGTGTACTTTCACTCTTCTCTCCCCACCCCACCTATCCATTTTCCACCCAGCAAACCAAGGGGTCTTTGGAAAATATTTTTTTTTATTATATCCCTCCCGATCATAACCACTCTAAGTGCTTTCCATTCTACCTGAAAAAATATCCAAATGTCACATCATGGAATACAAATTTCTGCATGAACTGGCTCTTGTTTCAGTTTTTTACATCTTTCTGTATGATGTTTATACAACTCCCCAAGCTCCTGCCCACTATAATCTAATTGGTTTCCACACTTTTCCTGAACAGTCGTATACATTTCTACCTAGTGTCTTTGCATTTGCTGTTCCTTCTATTTGTGCTCTTCCTCTGGCTCTTGGTATAAACTGGTTTCTTTTCATCATTTAATGATGATTTCTATCACCAGGACCCCCAATAGACAGACAAGGCCAGACAAGGCCACACAGGCTCTTCCCAGTGGCACTGGGCCCAGGAGGAAGTCAAAGGTCAAAGGCAGAAGGAATAGTGAAGATGGTGAGGCCCACAGGAAAACAAAAGCTGAGGTCCTCAAGGGCAAGAATTGTGCTGCTTTTCCAGCCAAAACAAAGGAAAACCACATCCCTAAAGAGGTCGTTGTCCATGCGGCCAAGGAGAGGCCCAAGGCCAAGGCTGCTGCTCCTCCTAGGGGTGGTGAGTCCAGGACGGTACTTGAACCCCTGGTCAGGAAGACCGAGGCCCCCAACAGCTTGAGGAGGCTGGGCATGCCCACCAAGGCCTCCTTGTCCAAACTGACCAGTAGGAAGGCAAAGGCTGAAAGCTAGAGCTGCCGTGGAGACATGGAGATCCTGCCTGAGTTGTTATTCCCCAACAAACCCTCATTCTATTTATTTCATTATAACCTATTTATCAACAAAGGCTTTTTTATACACACACACACACACACACACACACACACACACACACACACACAAAATAGCCCTTGATTCATCCTTCCCTCTCTGCCCTTATCATCTTGCTTGATACTCTTCATGGCATTGATCATCAACCAAAATTACCTTGTCAATTTAATACTTCACCTGTTTATTTTTCATCACTCTCTCCCCATCTCCCACAGAAATACATGCTCCATGAAGTGAGAGTCTGCCAGTGATGTTTATTTATTGCTGAGTCAGGGCACAGAATTGTTCCCAGCATGTGGTGGGCACATAGTACATCATTTAATAACTTAATACTGCAATAAATACTTCTTGATAAATGACTAATTGAATAAGTTAATAATCAGACTAGAGTGACCAGATTTAGTAATGAAAATACAGGTCACCCAGTGAGATTATAATTTCAGGTAGGCAATGAGCAATTTTTAGTATAAGTATGTCCCATGCAATATTTGGGGGATACTTAAACTAATAATTATTTGCTGTCTGTGTGAAATTGTAATTTCACTGGATGTCCTTTAGTTTGTCTGGTTAAGTCTATTTTACACATTTACCTTCAAGACTTTGTATTATGGATTTAGTTATTTATTCACTCAACCTACAATATCTCAGGTACTATGTGGATGCGAGCTATAATATGGTTGAACAAGACATGGGCTTGGCCAGCAAGATTATGAGACACCTGCTCTCAGCTCAAGAGAAAATACTACAAGTATATTGATGGTAGACCTTTCAGAATCTGAAAATTCAGTTTAAATCGCACATATATTAGGAGTTGCTTAGCCTAAGGCTGTGTTATTTGTAGAGGACACAATATTTACTTGACTAAACAGAGCAGATTTTTGATGAAGACATTAGTGACCATTCATCATATCTGGATGTTCAGTTAAAAAAATAAATTTACAAAACAAAATTATGCCTTCTATTCCCGAGTCTTTTTATAATGAGGTGAGAATTAAGTTTATTAGAAAAACTAATTATTTATAGAGATTAATCTGGCATTGTCTTGTTTTTCAGATTGATGCTTTTCAATAGAAAAGCACATCAAAACACTCACATTGGGGCACCTGGGTGGCACAGTGGGTTAAAGCCTCTGCCTTGGGCTCAGGTCATGATCCCAGTGTCCTGGGATCGAGCCCCGCATCGGGCTCTCTCCTCAGCCGGGAGCCTGCTTCCTCCTCTCTCTCGGCCTGCCTCTCTGCCTACTTGTGATCTCTCTGTCAAATAAATAAAATAAAAAAATCTTTAAAAAAAAACAACAACACATTTCTCTCATTAGAACCCATGATCGTTTGTTCACTTCAAATATCTGATCATTTCTCCCCACCACTCCCTTCTCCTGTAATACACAACTAGGAGTTTTCATTCTCAACCAATAAAACACCACCTCATGCTGCATGTGTGTGATTGAGATTTTTCATTTAAATCCACTTAAGTATATTTTTAGTTTTAATTTAACAAGTAATGCATATAGCCCTTACTATGCGCTGTGAAGTTTCTGTTTTAGAAAGATTAAATAATTTTATTAATTAATTTTTAACTCATTTAACTTAAGACTTTTTATTATGATATAATGTAGGTGCTATTATTATCCTTGTTTTGTAGGTGGATAAGCCCAGTCTTCTCTAGTAAGTGGCAGAGGTAGGTTTTGAGCCCATGAATTGTAGCTCCAAAATCTTATTTCTTAACCACACTCTATGCTTTTTGTTTGTTTATTTTCAAAACTGGGATTAGAGTTTTAGGACAATGAAACACAACTAGCATCAATTAAAGGGGGGGCTATTTAGCTTAAAGTTCTATTGTCTTCCCTAGTAAAGACATTATTTGCCATTGAATTTTGTGGATGATTATTTTAGAATCTGCTTAACTGTACCAGCGAAGATATAGCTGTGAAATGAAAGTTCTATTCCTATATTGTGCGTGTGTCTGTGTGTATCTGTGTGTGTGTACGTATATATGTAAATAGGGAGGGACACTCTGAATTCAACGTAATGTAGTCAAACCAGTCGGGTCATATAGTTTTCAAGGGAGGTTCTAATATCAGCTCTCCCACTCACTACCACCAATGTGACCTTGGAAGTGTTTTCCTTAAAACTCAGTCTTCTTCTCTATGAAATAGGTACATTGACAGTAGTACCCATCATCACAGGCAGCTGAAAGGATTAAATGAACTAGTGCAAGTGATTTTTAACAATACCTAGAATGAAGAATAGCTTATAAATGTTAGTATTATTATTATTGTTGCTGTTGTTATAACTATTAATAATATTATACTTGTCAAATGTCCCCTTTTTGTAATTCTTTATATGGTAATCTATTTTGAAAGTAATTTCCTCACTCTTAATTCCCTAGCACTTCTTTTTAGGAATTTATTATTTATTTATTTATTTTTTATGTGACAGAGCACACACAAGCGAGAGAGGGAGAGAGAGAGAGAGAGAGCACGCAAGCCCAGCCAGGGGGGAGGGGTGGAGGGAGAGGGAGAAGCTGACTCCCTGCTGAGCAGGGAGCCCAATGATGCAGGGCTCTCACATCATGACCTGAGCTGAAGGCAGACGCTTAACCAACTGAGCCACCCTCAGGCCCCTCTTTTCAAGAAATTTTTATATGCTCTTCTTTATTATCAGTTATCTGCTAGGTTAAATGAAAATCTCCTTAAAGTGGGGGCCTAATCTTACTCATTTCTACACTTCCATGAATATTACACATCAGAGTGACTTCTAAATATATATGCATATATATGGATATAATAAATTAGTTTTTGAGTAAAAATTAATTTCCCTCAGTAATGTTATGCACTTTGGTCATTTCAGACATCAGCTTTCTTTCAAGATTTTTCCTAGTGACACAGTTTTTCTACCCATGTATTAATAGCTTTTACAGTTCTATAGAAACATATTTCAAGACCCTCATCTGTTTCAAAATAATGGTCATATTTTTCTTCTTTTTGGTGTTTGTTTCTCTGGATTTTTAAAATATCTTTTATTCCTTGTATTCTAATTTATTTTTAAGAAATAGTGATTTGGGTACGCCCAGGTGGCTCAGTCGGGTAAGCATCTGCTTTCAGCTTGGGTCATGATCCCAGGGTCCTGAAGTCAAGTCCTGCATTGGGCTCCTTGCTCAGCCGGGAGCCTGCTTCTCCCTCTGCCTGCCACTTCCCCTGCTTGTGCCATCTCTCCCTCTCTCTCTTTCTCTCTCTCTCTCTCTCTCTGACAAATAAATATCTTTTAAAAAAGAATGATTTGAACAAAATATTTATAATATTTGAGAAAAAAGTAATTTTATACATTGTTGCACTATATTGTATTTTACTACCAGACAACAATTAATTAGATTACAATGCTTCCTTCTAACACACTTATCTTCAGAGGTATCCTTCATCTTTTGAAATATTCATCCACAAAATTTCTTTTTCAATGGAAGAACTTTAACAGATGGTATGCACTAATTTGGGCACACATTTAGAATTGATATATATACATGATAAAATTGCACAGATATCTTTTGAATGCATTTAAAATGAGATTTTAAAAGAGATTTTAAAAGATCTATATAGGCAAGAGTTAAGAATTTTATTCTCCACTTATGTTGTAGCCAAGAAAAAAGTGTGAACTAGCTGTTTTTATGTAGCAATACAGAGGAGGGAAATTACCTGAAGATTAGGAAAATAGTTTTCAAAAAAAAAAAAAGAAAGAGATTGATTCTTATAATTACCATCTGCTAAGGAACTTGTGAGTAAAAATAATAGAAGCAATTTTTAAGAGAAAATTACAACAGTTTTAGAAGATAAGGCAAACAAAAGAAATGTGTTTCAAAAGATTACATTTGCTGGATAA